AAAATCCAGCTGGAACTTCACCTGGAGGAGAGGCCAGCTCTTACCTCAGGTCACTAACTTGATAGTAATAAAATCCTTGAGATGGCACAACTTTAAAGGCCAGAACTTTCCACTTTTGTGCTAAACTGATGTGAAAAACTACAAACTGCCTTGCTTCAGGATGTCCTACTCACCCTGTGCTGAGTCCCCTTAGAGGTCTCACTCCTCTCCAAAGATGTTCCCAATAAAACCTGGAGAGCAAAACCATAACATCAATTTAGATTTTAAATCTCATTATTGGTTTGGAGAAAAAGGAAAAAAAAAGAGAGAGAGAGAGAGAGAGAGAGAGAGAAGGGGAGGTAATTTTATTACTTTTCTGGTATGTTTTCCATTATTTGCATAATTGTTTAACGCTAATAAGACAATTAACAATTCTTACAGCTTGATAATTACCCAGCAATGACTGGCCTATTGTAGCATAATAAATTTTTAAATTATTGCTGGGGTTCCTGGTGGTTTTTTTGCCCGATATCTTCTTGTGTTGGAGGTGCTGTTCATGCAAACAGGGTAACACAAAAGGCAAGACACCACCAGCTACACGGGACAGGCAGATATATTACTATAAAAGTCTCTTGAATTTAAAAGGAAGGGAAAATACAAGTTCTATATTCTTCTGCTTTAGGGACAAATTATCTAAATACACAGAGAAGGAAAGCAGAGATATAAAAATCAGCCCACCTTAGGTGAATGCTATCCCTGTAGAAGCCAGGCTGCTTAGCTGGTGTGGGTCTGGCTTTAATGTACCCAAAGGTAACAAAAGATTTACCATTTTTAGCTTTTCGCCACCAACTCCTCGAGTTCAGCGTGAATCACACTGTCCTGACCTGTGGTATGGCCAGAAGGAAGTTAATTGAGGGCAGGCAGGGGCAGGACTGTGTTTGTCACTGACCGAGGTCACAGATGAGATTGGCTGGAGGAGGAGGACGGTGGGGCCCTGGGGAGCAGTCCCGGGAATAGACTCCATGTCCCACATTCACACACAGATGATAACTGATGGAGATGGTGTTTTCCTCTCCCTTTTTGCACAGGAGATTTCCTGCAGGCTGCTCCTTGCAAAGGGAGACTTCTCTTGCTCTACCCTTCCTCTTTTCGAATGGCTGGGAAAACGTCAGTGCCTTTAACCAGGAAATCCCATTTGTTAGCAGTCAGCCCTCTACCTTTCCCCGCGTTTCCGCTGTTGACGTAATGGGTTGGGCAGATCTGCTTCTGAGCTCAGTGCTGGGACTCTTCCAGTTCCTCAATATCAAGCATGGCCCAGAGGCAGCTGTCACTGAGTCAAGAGCAAGCAGGCATCTCCACAGTTAGTCATATCCTGCTCGTGGCCAACTCATGTGGTGCTCCAGGACACCCCTCATGGTTCCTGGGATGCACAACCCTGCCCAGAACTGGGTCAAACAGCTGCACCCCTGATCTGGAGCATCAGCACGTGCAAGGGGCCACAATCCCAGCCACACCAGACCTGGCAGGAACATGGTATGGTCAGGTTAGAGACGCCCACTTGTGCTCAGCCAAGGTCCATCATGTGTGTGCTGGACAAGTGTCCATCTCTCTCCCGAGGCTGCCTCATCTGGATGATAAAAACATGATGTTTTGATCACAGGTTATAAAAACATTTGATCTTTGTAGTAGAGAGAAATAATTTGCAGTAGGAAACCATCACAAGAGATGCCTGGAGTTTGCAGGGAAATTGTGATCCCTGATGCTTGCAGGTATGGAGGTGGGACCTGGTCACCTCTGTGGGGAAGGAGATGGGTTTTGAGAGGACCAAGCATGAATGTCAACACAACATGGGTGAGGAGATGTCATGTCCCCCTCCTCCCAAGCCTCAGCTCTCCTGCTGCAGCCTGCCACCACCACCTCCACCCCACTGGGGTCTGTTCCCAGCTTGGATCCAGCTATTCCTGCCCCATCCTTGCCCACCAGTCCTTAGTGGAGGGACCCTGCAGTCCCTCAGCTGCTCCAGGACTGCCCATTTCCTCCTGGGCTCCCTTCACTCCCCAGTCCTCTGCCCAGCACCAGCCATGCAGGCTGCAAAGCAGGTCCAGCTGATACACAGAGGTGGTGCCAGCCCTGCCCTGAGCTGGGCACAGCCACAGGATGCCAAACAAGCCTCCAGCCAGTTTTCCCTTCCCCATCGTGCCTCCCCTAGAGCTGGGATGGGATTCCCAGTAGATCCAAGGAGATCAAAATCCTCCTCAGGAGCCCGTGTTGAGCGTGTTCCCCATCCCCAGGTGGACTCCCTGACACCAGCCCTGGCAGCCCATGGCTCTCCTAGGAAGCGCTCCACTCCAGTAGATCATGGTGAAGTGTCTGAGCAGTGTTTTTGCACCTCTTTGGGACGTGTTGTCTGGAACACAGACGGGAACAGTAATTGCCACTGGGTGAGTCATGGGCCCCATAGGCTTGGCCAAGAACCACCCTGAAAACCTCCTCACCACTCCTCTTCTGAGCAGGGCACCAGCTCTCCCTGAAGACACAGGAGATGGCTCCAGCCCTCAGAGGAGCCCAGCAGACTCACAAAGAATAACACTGTCAGCTCAGCAGAGATGGAAGCAGAGAAGGTGCTCAGCCAGGCGGAGATGAAAGTTACAGAGCACAGATTAAAAGGCCGGCAACAGCAGTAACGCCGTCACTAACCGTTCGAGAGCTGTCACTGCTGCCTTCACAGACGGGAGGGACGGGCTGCTGCCCCGAGCTGTCTCTGCACAGCCAAGCGCCCCTTGACAGCCCCGTTCTGAGCACTGATGTGTTTTCAGCAACGTGCTCCAAGCCAGGGCAACCTGCTCAGCTCCACCGGGTCCCAGCAGAGGATGGCAGCAGAGCAAATGCGTAGTGGGAACCTTCAATACAGCAGAAAGCAGAGATCAACAGATCATAGATGATGCTTGTACTGGGAGATCTCTGGGAAGGCACAGCTCTGCAGAGTAACTTCCACCCACTCTCCTTCCCTTTGAATTTGTTTCCCGATCTCCCAAAAGATGATTTCTGCTGATAAAGAGATGCTCCTTCCACCTTCTCAAACACATCTCTTCTTCCCACTGCTCTGCAAAGCATTACTGTCCTGGTGTGAGGGGTCATTAAAAAGTTCTGCCAACATCCAAACATCCCCAGCTCCTCAAACCAGGTCTCCTGGAGCTGGTCCGCTCACAGCAGGCATCGCCCAACAGAGAGAGCAAAAGTTGAGGCCAACCACCCAATTTGGTTTTGCCCATAAATGTTTCTAGTTAAAGCCCTGGATGGGGGTTTCTGGAAAGCTCCACCTGCATGGAGGATCTTCACCAAGCACCACCACTTTGACTCACCATCTTTGCTGTGGTAACAGTCTTGAGACATTTTCCTTGCTTCCTTGATTCAAAGTCCTGTGAAAAGCCCTTTCCCAGACAGTCCTGCAAGTTCCTGGTTGCTCTAGGCCCAGAGCAGCACCGAAAGAACGACCTCCCTGCTCTGACAAACTGAGCAGCACCTTAATGATGTCTGAGAAGGGACTAAGGTAAGAGGAGCCAGTAATCTCACTGGGAACCCTTTAGACAGGCATTAATCCTGCTGTCACTGAGCCCCTCAGGAAAACCATTTCACTGACTTGATCTTCTTCAGCTGTTCCTCCCCATAATTTATATGTAGCTAATTGCCACAGCAGTG